GAATTTTCCCCCAGAACAAAGCCCCAATAACGAAAGGAAACAACAATAAAGGAAGGAAACCAAAATTCTCTCACCATTTTGAACCCTAAAATTCGCCTCCACCTCGCCCAGCCGAAATCCACCTTTGGTAGCCCGATCGACGAATTGCCGCAGCAAAATCCACAACGTTGAGCCTGTGGAGTAGTGTCGACCCAGTATCTGCCATCTTTTAGCTTCAGGTAAGCCGAATTTCACTTCTTCTTTTAGTTGTTTTCAGAAGCTGGTGTTGTTTGGTAATTTTGGGAATATGGTGGTGTAAATGAAAGATTATGATTATGAACGTTGGGCAAAAATTCGATTTACGAAATTCAAAACCCAAAATCACGTCACTCTACTTCGATCGGTAGACACCCCACCCCACAGTAATCACTCCTTATTTCGAAAATCAGTAACTTAAACCCACTTGGACTCATTTCTACATCTCTCTCTAGCTGTTGATTTTCCCTCCACGGGATTAATCGAAAGAGATGAATATCCTTTTCATTTCTTTAAGTTTTAAATATTTTGAATAATTTCAGTTGCGTTCGTATTATGGTTGGATATGATTTTAATATGAAGAAAAAATTGATAGCTAGGCTTTCAATTTTATGTGTTACCATCTTCATGTTCCTTTGAAGTTAATTTTTCACACATTTTCTCTGTTATACCAGATAAAAAATTTTAGTTAGTTTGATTTTTTGGTTTATGGAAACCTAGATGTTTCTTTTAGTTTTTGCCCTTTTTTCTTTGGTGTTTCTATTCTTTGAGCCGGGGTTTTTGGGTTCTTATTTACTTTCTATTTTTTGTGATTTTTAAATTGATTTATGTTTTTGTCATGAGTCTGCATTATGAACAATCAGGGTGTAATTCAGGTTTGTATAGAATTTGCTTATCAATGTGTGTATTTATGATCCAAATGAAAGTATAACTTGTACAGGTTAAAATTCTAGAGCCTAGAAGAAATTGACATTTGTTTGAGTGGTTGTAATTTCAGAGCCTTTTTGTGATTTTATTTTCTCAAAGTTTTTAGTATTCGATTTGTATGTACAGTAATTGAATTTGGTACGTTGGGATCTTTTTAATCTTTTGCTTACTATGATTTTTTAAGCAAATGTAAACTTTAAATGTAGGTTGAATTTGTTAATCACAATGTAGTTCAACTTGTAGATTTAAACATATGATTCATTTTAGCATATGAGGAAGTTAATTTAAAGTTTAGACGAAACATCTGTTGAGAAAATATGTAATTCTCAAGAATTTCACTTGATTTTTCGACAGTAATAATATAATGCCAACTTGTATCTGATACTTCACTGCATGTTATACAAATTAAATGCATGTTATATCATTCTCTGATCATTGGAATTTGTTCATTATATATGTGTTGTAGATGAATTTCGAGTTCATTGGAAATTATGCAATCGAGTATACTTATAAACTGGGACAAATTCAATTTTTTTCTAGCCATCAGTTTGGTGTTGTTCATTCACTCGATAATATTGTGGACAATGAGTGCGGATATTTGTTAATAATTCAGTTTTTTCTTTCCAGCATAAGGGGGAGGAATGTTGGCGTCTATTACGGCTATAGAAGTACAGACCACTCCTTCCTGAATTGCTCGATAAAACGACGATGCCCATGATGTACGCACGAACTGCAAAAATGTTTTGAAGTTGAAAGGGAGACAAAGAACAAAGGGCGATTATTCAAAACATGTAGTGTTAATTGTGGGTATTTTGATTGGATCGTAAACGAAGAATCAAGCGGTGAATCTAACACGACTAATGAAGCAGTGAATCTTGAAGCCATCGAGGAAGCCGAAGATTTGCTGACCATGTTCGACAGTCTAGCTAGAATAGTTGAAAAAAGAGATATTGAAATTTCATTGAATATGACATTTCATAAGAGAAAGGAAAGTGCCGATGTGAATGGGAATGGAAAAGGGAAGGGCCACGCCCCATAGGTAGTAGGCAAAACTGATTTTGATGTTTCGAAATATTACTTTGCTATTTTTGTCCATAAATAAATTGAGTATATTCTATTGCTTAGGTTTGGTGGTGGTAAATGGTGGCTGTGTTCAATTTTATCTTCATTAAGTGTTAAATAGGTAATGGATGTTTAAGATGGTGGTTTTGGAGAACTTGTATGGATAATGGCAGTGTGTGCTGTAATGAAATTGGTAATCGTGTTTTGGAATGCAAGTGGTGGTGTTATATTTGTGAACTAATTTTCTGTTTGTTCATTGCTTGAGTTAAACTATGTATATATATCATAGGTTGCATCTTATTTTGGAGGTTTTAGTTTGTTTCAATCGTCTTCTGGATTTGATGTTTAAATTATCTTAGTTATGGGAAAGTTGTGACTTGAAAGGCCCTTAGTGGTTTTCGAAGTTCCTCGATTATGATGGCAGAGGAATGGATGGCTGTCGGCCTGAAGATACACATTTGATTTGAAGATTGCTTTCCCAACAGATTGAAACCAAGGCAGAAAATCTAGTTTTTGCTGACATCAAATTGAACTCAACTTTTCTCTCCATCCAATCCCCCCAAATATTGCAGTCCTCCTTACATTAAAATGGCAGAAAAAATAAAGAGCACAAGCAAAATGCAAAAACTAACGTTTTCAGCAAAAACTGTCCATTTACTCTCTCATTAACATAATCAAGTTCCTCAAAGAAGTGAGCAACTCATTCATCAACCAACACAATGAGGTTAACAGATGTCTTAAAAAACTGAACCAAGTTCCAAAGGGTTAAAAGCATACTGAAAATATAATCATATCAATATGTATGTAGAAATAGTTCTTGTTGCCAAAAACTCAAGATTTCACATGAAATATTTAGATTCCAAAGAAATAAAAAAATCCGGTACACATGAAACATGTATAAAACACACAAACAACCTCACAATTACAATGGATAAATCATGCAAAAATGTTCAGTGTGGGCTACAAATGTTGAAACAAAGTGTGACCCAATTTAGCATCTCCAACTTCACTTGTCATCTGAGATTCCAACATCGTTGTGAAACGATGTTGTTGGATGAGTAATTGGGACAACGTTGGACAAATTTGCCAAGTGCGTTGCTCTTGGAAAAGAATCTGAACCTTGAACCTGAAAGAAGAGGAAAAATAACATAACACATGAGACGCTAAATTCGGTCTAACAACATTATGGTCTAACATCCACATTCACTAAAAATGAACCTGAAGAAAATTATATGCTATTTGGCTCGTCCCAGTCACTGCAACTTCGGGATGTGGTAAATGCGGGTTAGTAAAACACGCACCTAAATTAAAATTTGGGTCAACAAACACATGAAAAAAGGGGAAAAATCGACTGTGAATTATGATTATGTAAACACGTGTTCACCTTGTGAATTGAATACAACATTAGAAGATGATAATGAAAGTTGCGTACACACTTGACTTTCGAAGTCACCCTATGTCCAATACCAACATAATTAGAAAATAAAAATATAAAAACTATGAAAATAAATTACGCTTACTGACCAACAGAAGCTATGAATACGAGAATGGTGCTGGCTGCGAATGTTGAAGTTGTTGAGATTGCTGGACTTTAGGTGCAGCCTCTTCCATATCAATGCACCTATCTCTCAGTCTCTTTCCTTTGTCTGACTTTGAACTTGCCTGCACATACATGGACAAAATTCAAATTTTGTGGTGGAGGTCGCATGTACTTGAAGAGATTAATAGGGAAAAATACCGTTACCTTCTTCGAAATACACTCCAACGGGCCTTTTTTCTTAAGCTTCCTCAACACGCCCTTTCATTTTGACGAGTTAGGATTCAACACACTCATGCCAGTGGTATTCTACGATCCAATGCACTATGTGGCACCCTGAAAATTTTGCTGGGGAAGGACATTACTACCACCACTCGACCGGGAAGTCCTCAACTCTGTTGCTTAGCATTTTATCTAATCCATTATTGCTCGAGCCCGGCCTTCGTCACTCGCAGTGAGGTCTGCCACCTCCGAAAATGCTTGACACATATCATCATAGGTTAATTGTTCAAGCATACTAACCAACCCGGCGTAGTTCACTGCGACCTTCGTATGTGCCCTACTAACATCTTTCCTCCACCGCCGCAATATATACTTCTCTGGCGTTCGTGTGAAGTCATTACGGTCGAATACTGTGATCGCATGCCTACAAATAATTCCTCAAAATTCAAACAAGTGGCAACTACACATCACTTCACTAGAGTCCATCCGAAATAAGACGAGAAATGTTTTCTTCTTCCTACCCTTGAGGTATACTATAGACTCCCGAACCTCGTACTTCACCCCATCCAATCCCTCTACTTCTGAAGCGACATCACAATAAATCTTTCATACAAACTCATCCTAAAATTCCTTGAACTGTGAAATTGTGTATACTAATTGAAATTATTTTTCCATCTCAAAACTTGTTGCACACTAGACCATCTACGAGTATGATTTGAAATCAACTTGGAACTCTTTTTCAACCTTATTCCTTAGTTCTTGTTCGTACTGTTCAACGAACTGCTTCAAAGAGGTCTTCGAATGGACGTATCTATCGAAAAATGTATTCATACTTTCACTTCATTGTGTTGTAGACATCCCGGCCTAGAAAGTTGTTTTCAAAAAATAAGGCACCCAACGACCTCAATTTTCGTACAATCCAAACAACTAATCATTGTCATGCAACTCAAACTCATCGATCATAGCTCTCCAACCTTCTTCAAATTCATCAACAGCATTCGAGTCGTATACCAAATGATGTATAGTCGAGAATATCAAACTTTTATCAATGTGGCATCCAAACTTCTCTGGCAATTTCTTCATAATGTGCCACAAAAACCATCTATGTCTAGTATTCGGAAATACAATCTCGATTGCATTCTGCATGGCTTTGTCTTGATCCATAATTATTCCACATGAAGGTTGATCATGCATGCACTCAAGCCACGTCCTAAACAGCCAGACAAACGTACTTGTATTCTCATTTGATAACAAGCCACAACCAAGCAATGTTGATTGTCCGTGATGATTCACACCAACAAAAGGTGCGAAAGGCATGTCGTACTTATTCGTCAAATAAGTGGTATCAAAGGTTACAACATCGTCGAACTCCTTGTCAGCTTGCCTACATCTATTATCTATCCAAAATACATTCTTAAGCCGAGACTCGTCATCCAAATCCATAGCGAAGTAAAACCCTGAGCACCGTGCTTGCATCTGTGAAAAGTAAGATTGTAATCCTACTGCATCTCCCTCTCCAAGTCGTAACCGTCTAACTTGTTCAATATAATTTCAGCAATATTTTTCAACACAAGTCATATTCTCATATCCACCTGCCTCTACAACTGCAGAGTTGAAACTTTTGTACAGTGGAATACCCGCTATGTCATTCAATTCAAGCTTTCGTTTTACATATGCACGTAATTCCCGACTGCACCGAAACATCCTAGACTTCGAAGGACTTGTCTTATGGTTATGCTGGAGGTTGACGGTGTTAATTCTCCATGTGCCATTACAGTCTGCAGATACAGATATTCGTGCTTTACAATCTGTTTGACTTGTTGGTTGCGACTTCAAAGCACTGTTTGTATTACTAGACCTTCGGCCTTCACGACTACATGTAAATGTCACAAATCTAACAATTCCATCATCCCCCTTTTTAGAATTTCTTTTTCTGACTAGAAAACCAACTGCATAGGCATATTGCTTGTAGAAATCAAACAACTCATTTTCATCTTTAAATGTCATACCCACCTCGAGCACAATCTCTCCATCTCCTCTCAAGGCGTTGTTATCCACAACGTTGATATTGTTCGAAACTATCTCATTATCGAATTGCATGAAACCATTTTCGTTTCCTGGTTCCATAATTTCGCACTCTGCGTCCAAGTAGAAAGATAATGTTCAGCAAAATAAAAGGCAATGATAGAAACGAGAAGCAATATGATGAAGTACTTCAACTAACTTGTTCAAGGAAAATGGAAATTTAAGCATCAATAATTAGTCTCAAATAAAAGATAAATCAGTCCAAACATTTCACCTCAAGTTCCTGAAAATTGTTGAAAAATACATGTCAAACGAAACATAATTCAAAGTCAGGTTTTTATTATTCACCTAATCATAATATACATGAAATATTAGATAATATCTCATGACAACTTTTTTCCTTACCCTTTTCATTTGTATGTATAAGTTATAGCAGAAGCTGCATCATTTTTAATTACCACATGGAAGTATTTCAGCAGGCGAATTTTCAGTTTACATTGAGATGATAGTGGAAGTTTGAATCTAAATATCTTCCACAGCGTCAACAAAAACTAGAAGGCTATTAAATTGAGGCCAAATTGCATTATGATCGTTCTATGTTTCTGAAAGTCGATTACTCTCCCAAGGTCATTATAACATAGGCCGCTAAAACCTTATAAAATTTTATTTTTGAAATTTATGCAAGCCTCCATCTGTAAATCTCAATGTAGATAATATAGATAATAAAATTCTTGTTCAAATGCTCACAATGTTGGAGAAGATAGAAGAAAAATACAATGAATATCAAGATTTTAGGGAAGAAATCACAGGGAAAACAGGTTAATGCATTTTGTAGATGAATTGAGGGATTTAATTGGATTGAAAGGGGTATTTGAGTATTTTCCATGATGAGGGTATTTTAGATATTTGATATTATTTGTTTATTGTATTTTATAAATGAAGGCCATTTGACCAAGAAACATTGAAGGAAGGTTATTTTATCAAAATCATTGTTTGACTAGGCTTTTTTATCAAATCCCCCATTCAAATTTGGTAATTCAAAGTCCATGAAGTTCATAAATTGTGGGTTTTCAAAACTGATAAACACCTCACTCCAGTCAGTAAAACTACAAAAAATTAATTAACAGTTAAAGAAACATAATAAGCCAAAGTTCTCGACTATATTATGAGAAATAAAATTTTATATGTAGAAATAATTTCACCCACCATTCCCACCAAGATTATTTTAGGGTATAAATAAGACAAACATCTCAAATGTCATTTTATCTTCAATAGCACTTCAGTTGTTCACTATTTATTTTCCTCACTTTGATATACTTGTTCCCCTGTTTAGTTCGTAATTACGGTCTAACACAAAATCAAATGCAACTCCAATAAATAACTTCATTTATCCACTTATTATTTACCAGTAAACTGTACAAGAATAATGAAGTACCTGACATTGGATATTTGGAGAGAACCTGAGGTTCTGTTCTTCTCTTTCCGATGAAGTAACCCGACGAGTTAAAGGAAACGAAAAATCGCACACGTCGAACACCTCTTTCACTTCCCTTCACAGTCTAGCCGAAGATTGCCAGCCGGCGCATTCACCTCCGACCGGTAAGATTCACAGGAATTTCATGGGACGCAGCTTCATTTCCTCTAAACCTAACTACGGCTCTGTTTTTGGGAAGAAATAATGAAACGTCTTCCCTCCTCTTTTTTTTTTTTTTTTTTTTTTTTAACACTATGGTTTCCCGCCCTTTTCATTTTCCTTTAGTGGCCACGTCATTTTCCTTTCAAAGTTCTGTAATGGGTCTGTAAATATACTCTGTACGTTTAGAATTTTCCGAAAGCAAATGATCCAATCTTTGGACTTGCAATGGGTGGTTCTTCAGAGACCACATACGAACTTTTAGAAAATCAAAATTGAAACTCTTGTTAAAGAATTGAGTTTTTGGGGGCAACAAGCACTACAAGACAACTATGAATCTTAAAAAGTATAATGGAGAAAAAGAAAGTTATATCTTGTCTATTTTATTTGTAGATCGGTCTAATACTATGCACAGACATACCCTTAATATAATGGGTTAACAATCAATGATATTTAGATATTGAGGACGGATTATTTGTCGGGTTATTAATTGAAACATGCTTATTTTGTGCAATGGATGCTCATATTGATGATTAGGGTTGTGCAATAAATTTTTTAGGCGTAAAAATTTCTCTAATCAAAATTCTTTCTTTATCCTGAAATTGGTATCAATATGTCTTAATTATAGTTGGTGTTCAATATTATTTGTCGCTATTTTGAGTTATTGTCATTTTGTTGGGAAAACCTTTTGTGTTAAATTGCTCTTCCTTACAAGTTTTGTTTCTTTCCACACCAGTGGATCAACAGTTGTCGACAGAAGCTATCTACATGGACCACAATGCTGGTTACGTCGTGGAAGCTGCAACATTGCCAATTGCGATAAAATTTTGCGGTGTTTGGATAATTCCCTTAATCCTTTAACGTAGAGATTGATATGGTGGTCCTTCTAGATCTTAGTAGTCCCTCGTACATGCCATGATGAGTAGTTTTGATAGCTAAACGTTTAAGGTAGATTATTGGCAGCCACAAGTTTCACAAGTTTTTGCCTCATATGATGTAAATGAAAAATCTTGCACAAAGCTTCGTTAATAATTGTAAAATGTCTCGTATCATCATTGCCTATTATATTGTCATTTATTATCTCGTTAAAAATGATATTGTATGTCAATAAAAAAAAGTGACATTTAACTTTAAAAAGTGATATTGTATCACTTTTTTTTTAGAAAGTGACACAATGTTACCCAATAATTTTAATTCCAAATACTTTTCATATGATTTTTCAAGAGACTTTTAATTTTAGGTGTATTTTATAAGTTGTCAATTCAAAAATTGGTCTCAGTTCAATTCATTTCTAGTCAAGCCAACGAAATCCAACACTCTAGTGTATACTCACTAGTGTGAGCATCAGTGTATCAACAGATGAACTATTTGACAGAGATTACAAAGCCCAATAACATCACATCATTTAGACGGTGAGTTTTCATAAAACACTGTGGAGGATGTTCGAGTTGAATAGTCAAATCCCATAATCTTTTTAGTACGAAATTCGAGAGAGTGCATAATATCGATTGAATTAGTTTATATAGTGACTAACATAAGTCACATGCATACACATGTGACATTTATGCAATCAGTATACTTACAGTTGGAAACTTGAAATGCATGTTCTTCTACCCAAGGTTGGTCAATTAGATTTGGAAAAAGTCACGAGTACAGAGAATTCTTAACAGAATTTCTACTTATGTTGACGTGGTCGCAAATAATTTGATTGATTTCTTTATTCTCTTTCCACCTTTCAATCAATTCCTGCCATGTGTTATCTGTCGAAATTTTATGTCAATTTTTTTTGTACTTATAACATGATTCATTAGACTAGGTGAATGTTGTTTGGGTCGAGACCAATGCTGCTTAATCAATGGACTAAATTTTCTTTACATAATTGATAGTGCAGTTCAGGTTTTCGAGCTCTTGTAATTTGATGCACATACCTACAAATAGGACCAACATGAAGAGTGTGTTTGATTGACATGAAAAATACTTTCTTTATTTTGAGGAAGATAAAAACATATTCCCTCAAAGAAATTATTTTCCTTTAAAATAAAAAAAAATTAGGCATATTTTCAAAAGTTAAAAAATATTTTCAATGAAAAATGGCAATCAAATATTTCAAAGTAGGAGTTTGAATAGAAAACCGATATTTTATGAACCCAAAAAAAGGAGGAATTTTGGTTGGTAGGGAATAAATTAGTAAACTGAATTATAGATAATGATAGGCCACCAGCGGAGCCAGAAATTCAATTAGACCAAATAGTATCCTAGGTTTGTGGCACCTATATATTGACAAAGATCCAGTTTGACACTTAGTTGTATTTTGGTCAGATTTGTACCTAGTTGGCTTATATTTAATTCTAAATCAAAGGAATAAACTAAAATTTGCTCCTCAACTGGACAAATATAATCCAAGAAGATATCACTGACGAATTTTAAACTGAACAAAGTTATTAATAATACTGTTTAGCAACAATTTGAGCGTTGTAAACCCGATGCAACTAGAAGCAATAAGTCAGAGGCGACAAAAAAATTCATTTAACCCAATACCCGCAGAGCTCTACCTCAAATAGGGACGGGGATTAATAGTCTAATCAAGTCAATGGGACGGAAGTCATTGCCCCGAAGCAGGTATGGGGCATGTACGGAAAACATAGTTGCTGCCCCCCGTTTAAAGTTAATTTCAAATTAAAATTTTTTTTATTAAACAAAAATAAAATATTTATCATCATTTTTAAAGAAAACATAAATTGTTCTTAACAAGTTTGAAAAAAAAAAAGTAATAATATTTACTAATTAAAGAAATAAAAAATAAAAACAAAAAATAAAATAAATAAATGGGGCAATATGCCCCCTGCCTTGCCTCAATCTCGCCTTGAACTCGGCCTGTTTCACTTTAATTGGGTATGAAAGCATTGCAAGATAACAAAAACATTCGACGAAATGGAGATTGAAATGATTGACCCATCCTATACCCGTCTAGTTGCCATCCCTACAAGAAATATAAGACAAATACGAGATATATATATATATATATATATATATAAAATAATAATAATAATAATAATAATAAATAAACTCTTGATTTCTAAAGAATGCTGAGAATTCATCAACTAAGCCTCACTCATTCAACTGAATAGTGGATATCAACAAGTCATTTTTGTGAACATGTGAATAATAAGTTGTAAATTCTATCAAATATTTGGATTTTAAAAACGTTTGATCAACTTAAGTTATAATTTAAATTTTGTCAAGCATGTTGAACTTATAATATTGGAAGTCAATAGCATGTATACATGGACAAAGATCCAGATTGATACTTAGTTGTATTTAGGTGTCACATTAGTACTTAAAATACTTTAATTTGAATCTCAAACTAGAGCAATAAATGAATGACAAAACAACTATTTTCCACGGCGCTTAGAATGCTTAGAATAATGGGCTCATATACAACTCCATTCCTTGTCTATTTCGATTGAACTAACATTTGCAATAAATACGGGCCACCCCATGTTTCCTGCTCTATGATCACCATATTTGCATGTTCGACCTGACAATAGTGAAGGTGACTAATAAAGAAATATGTTAAAATTTTGTTCATTTTATATTTTTATTTAGTATTACATATATCGAACACACACACATTCAAAAACTGATTACGCTACCTATTGTAATGTATCATATAACTTAGTGCTTACTATAAGCTAAACACCGATACTTAGAAGATCAATTTCGTGTGTGTGTGTGTGTGTATTTGGGTTTTTTTTTAGTAGTACAAGTACATTATATTGAAAAGGGTGTGAAAATCAAAAACCTTAAAAAAAATAAAAATAAAAAATCAATCCGTTTATAATCCTCCACTACTTAGATTAATGCTTCATATGAAAAACTATATTCTTTATAGGTTTGACAATAATATTTTGTAGCGAAAAAAGTTCGTTAGTAAATCTTTTCATTGATGATTTTGGCAATTGTTATAAGAAATAGATAAATGAGTATTGATTAGAATTTGTTGACGAAATTTGAGTATTATCTATATAAATCATTTTTCTTCTCGCTCTATTGAAATAATTGCTGATTCAACTACAATACAAAATAAGAGTTCCTCATATAGAGAAAAATAGTAATATGGCATTTATTTGCATGGAACTGCATGTGTATATGCATAAAACCATGGAACATCTTCACATGGCTAAGCAGTCAGCACATGCATATTTCTTCACTTTGGACAATGAAATTATATCAAATTAACCGGGAATTATGTGTTAGTGTATAATTTAATACCTTCAATTTTTATACATATTGTCTCACTTCTTATTGCATATAATTGCTACATAAATGAGGATTATTATTTCAATGGTAACGAATTTAAAATTTTAGTATAAGATCGTATTCAAACAATGCTATAGTAGATACTCGTAGGCTTCCCAACTAATCTTCTACCATGAGGCAAAATACGTAAAAGTAGAAACACCTTGACAACGAGTAAATTTCCTTCAATATGAAAGGTTCATGAAACTTATTATACCTTCGAGATTAAGTTTTCAAAAGGGATTTGTAGATATATAATTCAAATTAAAAAAAAATGTATATAGAGATTTAGAGCCCGTTTGAGCCACATTATTTGTAGAATGAAAATGAAAAATAGAGTAGTTATGAGATCCACACAAGAGATAGAAATTCAAAAATAGTGATTTGATGTGATGGATAACGATCATATTTTTCATTTTAATGAGGTAAAAATGGGGTTCAAACAGGGCCTTAAATAGGCAAGAAATTTTGCACTCATGATGGGGTAAAATATACTTTTTCTTAGGTGTTTGAACACTTGAGCGCAGTTGTGTAAATATTTTTGTACACAAAATAACTAGAAGTTGTCTGAATATATGATTAAAGAAGATAGATGTGACAATTCAGTGTTGTCTAATGATTCGTACAAAACATGCATAATACGTATTAGACAAAACGCATATGAAACCAATGAAATGCTTCTTCGATTCCTGATTGGAGCAGCCAAGTGATGTAATAACCAGAGGAAGGGTTGGAG